CTGACGTGTCTACCTAGAGGACAGAATGGCCCTGGGCTTCGAGGATATGCCGAATATCATCGTGGCAGTCCTGCAGATTCTGAACACCGGTTTCAATATGGGGAGGAAGGAGAGTAGTGACAACACTGGCATTCAACCGAAAGTTCTTGGAGACCCGAACAGGGGTTTTGCCAAGGCAGGATAAGGCAGCCAAGCGAGTGGCTGCATCCTGAGAAGGAGCAGCAATGACACGTGTACCCAGACGGGTGGGGTTGAAGGTGACAGGGCATCTACGGAATCAACAAGATGCCTATGGAGGGAGAAATCGTCAGGAGGCATAGAATCAAGAGGGAGGAGATCAAAGTATTTGGCCCACGAAGCGGGACCAAACAAGGCTTGATACGCAACAGTATGGGAAGGAATCGAGCGAGTGCGGCCGTTGCGTGAACGGCGTTGAGAACCCCCAGAGAAAGAGAGGTTAAAAGGCGCAGTGGTCACAACGAGAGACTGAGCAGTGCCAGGGGACGAGGTGGTCACCACTGGGGGCTTGGGGCTCGACCCAACCGCAGAGGAGGGAGGGGAGCTGGGGGGAATAGTCAGGAGTGTCAAAGGAGGAGCAAGGTAGGGACCCAATGCAGCGGGGGCTACAGAGCCTGGTCTTCCAATACAGTCCGACTCGGGGGCTTGGTCGCCCATTCCACGAGCCTGAGAGGGTACAAGAGGAACATTCATAGACATGAATACGAAAAGAAACACTTTCATTCGCGAATATGCCCCCACACCCACCATGGAGCCACAATTTGAGGCAGGACACCCAACAAGAACCTATCGCCGATCATGCCGGAGCCCCCTAGGGATGCGTCGTGAGTATAAGCCCCACAAATGCCACCTTAAGAACCGTCAGTCCGTTGAGGTCGGGTTCAGTGATGAAAGAGGGATTGACAAGAAAAGGTTTCCTTCACTCGATACGTTGGGTACTACAGTTCTACGGGTGCAAGAATATGCCTCCTCAAACACCCGGGCTTCAAAACAAAAGAAGGCCAAAAGAATGAGCAAAACAGGCACAAGGTCAGCAGGAAATGACAACGAGAAAAGAGAAGAGGGGGAGAAAAACGAAACATAAGGAAAGGGAAAAGGCGTCCAGCAAAATTTCTGAGGACAGCAACAGGAGCAGAAGGGTATAAAAGGACAGTGGACCACTCCAAGGAGCATCACATTCTGACAGTCGCCCACCAAGCCCCCCTCACGGCAGCAACGAGCTTGACAGGGAATGGGAATGACTATACAAACATATGTTTTTTGAATTGTTTTATTATGATTTACTTGGTGTGGGTTCCATGCTAGTGCTGCATATTCCAGTACTAGTCCAACAAATGTCGTGGATATGGTCTTGAAGGCATACTGACTTAGGGTTTATATGATGTTCTAATATTTGGCTGCATCTCATATGATGCTGGTGTTACCTAGTTTATATGTGCCTCCAGTGTTACTCTTGGAATATTCTATCCACACTCAAACATCTCTTTTTTCCAACTGCTGAAGTTGTCTTCTTCCTTGCAGTGTAAATGCCTCCTGGTCAACTTTCTCGTGTACCCACTTTTATTATCTTACACTTGTTGGTATAGAATTCCAGCAATCATATAATTCTCTACGTCTGTTAGAGGGGAATTGTCAGCAGAAAGCGCCAAGCCATTACCACTATATAGCACTTGGAAAGGATCAAGATAAGGATTTGGGATGGGACGGAGGGAAGGAATGGTGCTCAACCGTTTGAACAGTCGGGGATTTAACGCCGACCTGCATGAAGAGACCGTCGGGAGTTGCGTGGTGACCACCAGCCAGGTCGGACGTTCCTGAGGTCTCTCCGCTCCTGGCTAGTGTTTACGTTGGGTGATTGCTGGTTTGCTCTGCTGGTGGTGGTTTGCCACTGACAGGGTAACGTTTGACTTAGCCATGGGGACTTCTCGCCCTCCAGTGAAGAGGACATTGTCGGCTGGTCTGGCATTTGCGGTGCCGGTGGACCATCCGTTGATTGGTGGACGTGCTACATGTGTAGGTATCGGACCTGGTGGGCATCCAGCTGCTTCAGGGCAACCGTGCTGTGGTCAAGTTCCATCCCCAGGCTGCCTTTCAGGCGTTTCTCCGGCGGTGTGAGGGGCGTGTTTACCCTCTCCCTGATACTAGTGTCACCTTGACGTCTGTGGCAGTGTACAGTGCTCCCTTCGAATTTCAGGACGACTTTTAAACTTCCTGTTTTGGACGATTTGAGACAGTGTTAAGTATTCGATGGAACATGGTCCTTGCCGGGCACTGTGCTGGTATGCTTGACAGCGCCCGCACCCTGACAATGTCGCTGAAGTGTAGTGTACCGTCGTCGATGTCCGTGTTGGGTTACACACTCCACTGCCTGTATCGGGGGCAGTCGCGCACCTGTTATAGGTGTGGTCACGAGGGGTCATCTGGCTGTGGCGTGCAATGTGAGAGTGACTGGTAGGGTGCATGTTTTTCGTGCGGAGGATTTTCCGCCCCTGATGCGTTCTGACTGTTCTGAAGACGGAGTGGGTGCTGTGCCTGAGGCGCCTGATTGCCTGTCTGCTGCTCCGCCTGTTGAGACGAGTTCTACGGCCTGCGTGACACGTCTGGTAACTGCTGTGGCCCCTGGGGTTGTTGAGCCGGTGTGTGTAGGTGTCGGGCCGTCGCCTGCGCAGCGTGTAGTGCAGGATGTCCTTGTGGAGGTCCATATCCAGCCCCTGCCTGTGGATGTGATACCGGCTCCAGGGGACGCAGGTTCTGCTGTTTTAGAAGGGGGCCTTCGGAAGGGGGAGTTGCCTGCCATGCTTGTGTGTGTGTTGGCGACTGTAATTCTGCTACCTTTGTCCCTTTGCAGAAGCGTGCGCGTCGGTATTCTGAGGCTGTTTCCCTGGATAATGTGGACAGTGTGGGCGATGTGGCCTCTGTGAACTCTTCGGACTGTGCGGATGTGGCCTGCGTGGATGTGAAGATGGTGGCCATGCCTGCAGAGGGGTACAACCCCCCCCCCCCGCAGTGGGGGATTCCCCCTGATGATCGGGACCTCGTTGTGGTCTTGCAGAAAGATGTGCGCCGGCACAGGGCCTCGGCTCCTGTGCCCTGTGGCGGGGTCAGTGCTGCACTTCCATCCCCTGCGGTTCCCCCTTCCTTTGTTGCCCCGGTTTGGGGGAAGCCTAGTCCCAGCTGCCGGGGTTGTGATCTGTGAGGGTCAGGTGTTGGGCCCTTATCGGGATGCTTGGGTGCTTCCGATCCCGTGGTGCTCATCCACTCTCTGGGTGTCGCGGGTGAAGGAGTTTGTTTATAGGGGGCCGTATAAGATGTCTCAGCCGAAGGCATCGCCTGGTAGCCGGGCTTCCCCTGACACGTGGGTGATCTGGGACGCGTACTGCTTGCGCTTTCCGATATACAAGTTCCCGAAGAAATATTAGTAGACGTCTTGCGCACAATGCTACTCCGTGCATGGATCAGCTGCCACCGTGACCTCGACATCTCGCCCTGCGGTGCGGCAAGTCTCCCTCTAACCTCCACCTCTGTTTTTGTCGCCACTCCTCTATCTACGACCCGGCGCTACTAACACTTTTGACTTTCTTCTCCTCCTCAACGTCATCGCCTCTCCCAACATCTGTCCTGGTGCAGTCATCGGGAGGGTAAACCCTTCATGCAAACTGCACCTACTCTCAAGAAGAAGAGACCGTTGCTCTACCATACAACCCAAGTCGTTAGATACCATTCCTTCCCCTCCGTCCCATCCCAAATCCTTATCCTGATCCCTTCCAAGTGCTATATAGTAATAATGGCTTGGCGCTTTCTGTTGAAAATTCCCTCCCTAACATGAGTGGGCAAATAAGTAGTTGCTGGAATTCAATACCACCAAGTGTAAGATAATTGACATACTTCCACTCCAAGAGTATGTCAGTCCTTGAACTCCCAGTAGTCCTTTGCTGTTACATTCCTCTTAAGGCTGCATCATCTGCAAACATTGGCATGATCGAGCTCACTCCCTCGGATCAGCTGTTCACATAAATTAAGAACAGTAGCAGTCGCAGGACCGAGTCTTGTTGGACCCCGCTTGTTACATTCCTTTATTCCGAAACCACCTCTTTGACTGTGACTCTTTGCTGTCTGTCCGTAAGGTACACCGTTACATAGTTTACTGTATTCTTAGTTATACCAGCCTGCTTCACCATGTATACTAATCTTTCACGAGGTACAGTGTCAAATGAATTTATATAATCTTGGTAGGTACAGTCTACTAAGCTTTCTTTTTCCTATCTTATCTTGGTAACCCTGTTGCACACTCAATCAAGTCTGAGTGTGCAACAGAGTTACTATTGCCATGACTTTCCCTCTCCATAACCATGTTGCTCTTTTGTTGCAAGTCTGGTGCTCTTCACATGCTCCTCCATTTTCAACCTGATTACTTTCTCCAGCAGTTTATACTTGTTACTTACTCTTGCTTTTAATTTAGTGTCTTTTGTCTCCTCTTTTGAATATTGGAACTACATTTTTTCTTCTAGAATTTTGGGAGATTTACTGTTTTGAATGTTTTATTTAATATTTTTGACAGTGGGTAACAAAGTACTTCTACAGCCTTCTTCAGAAGCCTTGGTAAGATTAAGTTTATTCGCACTGATCTTATCATATTTAGTACCTCCAGGTGTTACCGACCTCTTTTACATTCATTACAACTTTTATCCATTGTTACTTCCTACATTTTATCATTCAATCTTGGTGTCTATTTTAATCATGGACAATGGTTAGGACTAAGGTAAACATGTTTGTTGGTCTGTTAGGTATTTTGGTGTCCTTAATAACTATAGATCTTAAGACCAATACCAAACTTGCTAATGTTCAGAAAATTATTGTCGTTGCCTTTGTAATCCTCTAGAAACTGAAAGGCACCAAATCTTCAGGCTGGCCAGTATAATGTACTGTAGTTGCTTCGACCTGACTATATATATAACCTCAAAGGTGTTTTCCTGTGACCTGACCTTAAATGTGACCTCAGAGTTGACCTTCGGAGCCGGGATGTTGGGGTCGTAGAAGTAATATTCCACATCAGCATACCTGGGAAAATATATCATAATCATCAATACCATTATTGTAATCATGAAATACTCATACTCCGCATAAGTAAAACAGAAACAAGTAACAAGTAACACTTAATGGGCCACCTAGAGACTGAGGGCACGCACAGGAATATCCCTCAACAAAAAATATGAAATGTTTATTATTATTTTTGAAAACAATAAGTACAAGTCATGACTAGGGTTCGAACTTGAACACTGGGTACTTACAAACACACGCCCTAAACTACGACATGCTAAAACGGTATGTAACTTGGAATTCAACTGAATCCTCAAGGGTTCCAGAGTCATTTCCTGATCCCAAATCAAGTGTTTATACATTACCCACAATCCTAGAGGATTCAGTTTAATTCCAGAATACATCACTGTTGTAGCATATCGTGATTTGTGGTTTATGGCGTGTGTTTTGGAGAACACAGTGTGCCCTTTCCAGTCCCCCTCATGGCTCCTAATGACTTTCTCATTGATAAACCACTTTAATGTGACATACGTTGCATTTAGAGTGAAGCGCTTGAGTTAGAAGACGTTTCACCAGAGAGTATGTGGGTACTGTGTAAGACACTCACATGGTACCCAGAGAGTATGTGGGTACTGTGTAAGACACTCACATGGGACCCAGAGAGTATGTGGGTACTGTGTAAGACACTCACATGGGACCCAGAGAGTATGTGGGTACTGTGTAAGACACTCACATGGGACCCAGAGAGTATGTGGGTACTGTGTAAGACACTCACATGGGACCCAGAGAGTATGTGGGTACTGTGTAAGACACTCACATGGGACCCAGAGAGTATGTGGGTACTGTGTAAGACACTCACATGGGACCCAGAGAGTATGTGGGTACTGTGTAAGACACTCACATGGGACCCAGAGAGTATGTGGGTACTGTGTAAGACACTCACATGGGACCCAGAGAGTATGTGGGTACTGTGTAAGACAATCACATGGGACCCAGAGAGTATGTGGGTACTGTGTAAGACAATCACATGGGACCCAGAGAGTATGTGGGTACTGTGTAAGACAATCACATGGGACCAGAAAGTGCCTCAGGAGCTCTAGATAATTCAGTTGAATCTTAGAATACATTACTTTTGTAGCATATCGTGGGCTAGTTGTCTAGAGTGTGCTTGGGAATACCTAGCGTGCAGATTCCATTTCTTATCATGACTCGTATTGATTTTCTTATGATGCCTCACCTTAATGTGATTTCATTGTGCAATATTACTAAATATTATCATTATCGATATTGAGAAAATCCGATGGAGCCGTGATCTAGATTCGAACCAAGCGCTGAGTATTCAAAGAAGTTCTCATTGACACATTATGTCAGTGTGATTCCTCTGTGTATTACTATTATTATTATTGATAAAATCAGTATGAGGCATGTGACACATCAGATTCATATGATTTCACTGTGTATAGTGTTATGATCTCAGCCTGCAGGAGAAACGAGTCTCCCTTCTTGAGAGTTATTCAGCAAGCCTGACCTAACTAGAAGGTCTAGCAGAATTTGAGGTGATAACGCATATGTAAAATAGTTGGTTGGATATGTGTAACAGTTTGAGATTATGGGCAATGCAGAAGAAAATAGATAAATGACTGGCTAGGAGATGTGGACATTTTGCTGGAGGCTTGAGGCTCGCTTCTGGAGGACCTTGACCTCACTTGAGTGCCAGACATCGCAGGGGGAAGCCGCGCTCCGTTGAGCTCCCGTCAGAAGGGAACCCCTAGTGATATATCTCTAAGAGAAGAGAAGTGTGCAGACGTGCCAGCTGTGGAATCGAGCTGGGGACGTGTGGTCTCAAGTCGTGGACGATAATTAGTGAATATTAAGCCGCCCGGAGGCATTATTGTGGGCTGTGTGGAGCGCCCTGACCAGACGCCGTCAGAGGGAAAGCGCCCTCGACCAATTAATCTGTGGTAAGCACGATAAACGCCAGTTCATAGTGATTGTTTGTAGTTGGTCGTGTGCCCAGCGACAGTAGCGATGTTTATTTATAAGTTAGACATGTTTTAATAAGGCAGAAGGCCTGAAATAGGAGAGTGAAGAGGGAGGAACACGGAGCGACGTCCGTCCTCTCTGAGCGCTGGCGGACGACTGAGGGAGCCTGGCTCCGGATGGAGGAAGACCCTCCCAGCGAGTGAGGACGCCGCCGCCAGGCGAGGTGGAGTATGGACCCGCCCAAAACGGGGGAGTCCACTCTCACTGTATGTAGAGAACAGATAGAGGTTTGAGGCAAGCATATTGTGTGGTTATTTTTTGTTTATGTGTTAAAGGGGAACATTTTATTGGAGTGTCGATGGGTTGCAGGTTTGTCTTTTGGGGAAGAAGTTGCTGAGAACTTCGAAGCCAGCAGATGATGTAGCTGATGAGACTCCAAGGTAGTGGAGCAGAGGACCTCGAGCTGTGAGGAGAAGCAGCAGTGAAGAGGAGTGTCACGTGCTTCTGTAGAGGTGGTGTAGCAGCCAAGAGAGCTGTGGAAGAACCTAACAGAAGGGTGGAGCACCGTAGTTGCACAAGGAAACTTCATGATAGCAGCCGGGAGGAGCTGCAGAGGATCCTGGTAGTGAAGCCCGGAAGAACCTAAGGATATTAGGGTTGTGAACTTCCAGAGGTGGAAGGGGAAGTTCTGGTGGATTACTTGTAGGGAGTTGATAGTGTTTGGTTGTTAGTAGCGTGCAAGACGCAGTGAGAGGTGAGTGACTGTTGGCATTCTTACGTCAAGGAGTTTTTTATACTGAAGTATCAATTAACATTTGTACTGGTATATGTTATTGCATTCAAATGCTGATATTCTATATATACATTATCTTGCTGATAGCGCAACAGTGTGTAGGCTTGACCAACTTGAGGAGGTTAATAGTATCAGGTGGTGAGCCAGGAGGTAGGATACCACTTGATAAGCTGATAATAGAGTTCTGATGGTATTGGAGTGCAACCTGATTGTGATATTATAGAGTATAGGATTCATTATTATTATATGTGTGTATGTATCGTGTATGTGCTTTGTTCAGTAAATGTGTCACAATTTGCTGGTGTTTGCCCTTGTCCTAGTGAGGCTTCCCAGGAGGTAGTAAAGAAGGAGAGAGAGAGAGAAAGAACCAAGAACCACTGCTGTGGACAGGGTAAGAGGCAATACTAGTAAGTCATAGGGGATTGAGGAGATCATATCTCATAAGGAGAGAGTGGGGAGTCACAGCGGCTCGAGTGGGTGTGTGCACGTGACAACGAGGCTAAGTGTTGGAGCCGCATCCCCTAAACGTGTGACGTTGAGCCCCTCTCCAAGAGCCAGAAGCGCCAAGGGTGATCTCCTAGTATAAGCACTCTGCCGAGTTGTGGGTTGGGGTTGTCCATAGAGAAGGATCGACGACGACAACACCAACCAACCCACAGTCTATAATAAATTGGGGGCCTGTCCGGGAGAGTGAACTGACACACCCACACCCTGTCCAAGAGTGGATTTGTACACCCTTGCTGAAATAGATAAACTGTGTGAACGCAGGTGTATATTCTCTCTCTTGGGAAGACTCGCAGGACAAAGATGGATAAGGTGCAAGCGTTTGTGGAGTCAGGCAAGCCTGAGGATTTAGAAGGTTGCACGAGGGATCAATTGAAACAAATAGCAGAAAAATGTGGCATCAGGTTGAAAGCATCTAAAGTAGCTGGGATGAAGGATGAGATCCTGAGGCAGTTAAGAGCCAAAAGTGAAGCGGCAGAACAAGGAGCCCAGAAAGGAGCTGAAAGTGGAAAGGAGGATGATGGGCAGGATGAAGTGAGATCCCAGGGATCGAGTAGGAGCAGCAAGAGTAGCCGCAGTAGCAGGAGTAGCCGAAATAGGAGCTTGGAGAGATTCCAGTTAGAGCTCCAGATGCAGCGTGAGGAGAGACAGTTCCAGCTGGAAAAGATGAAATTAGAACTCCAGATGAAAAATGAAGCAGAGAAGGAAAAAGAAAAAACCAGACTGGAAATAGAAAAAGAGAAAGCAAGACTAGAGGTGGAGAAAGAAAAAGAGAAAACCAGAGTAAGAGAACTGGAGTTGGAACAAGAGAAAGAAAAAGAGAAAACCAGAGTAAGGGAACTGGAGTTGGAACAGGAGAAAGAAAAAGCCCAGGTCGAAAAAGAAAAAGAGAGAACAAAACAAATGCAGATAGAAGCGAATAGAACCTTGGCTGAGCAAAGGATTGAACATGGGTTGCCAGAGAGCACCACCCAGGTATCACACCCACCAGATGTTAGGGTTAGGGAGAAGGACATTCCCTTGTTTGTTCCCGAAGAGGCAGAGAGCTTTTTCGAGCACTTTGAAAAAGTAGCCAGTATCAAGGAGTGGCCACAGGAGGAATGGGCCCAGCTGGTCCAGTTAAGATTGACCGGTGCAGCCAGGGAGGCATACACCCAATTGTCACTGGAAGAGTGCCAGGATTACGCCACAGTAAAGAGCAGCATATTGCGCTCGTTTCAGTTAACCCCAGAAGCTTATAGGAAGCGCTTCAGAGAGATGATCAAAGTTGGAGCGTGTACGTTTGCTGAGACAGCAAGAGATCTGGAAAGACGATTCCAGAAGTGGATTGAGGCTGCTGGAGTTGGATCTTATGCTGACCTGAAGCAACTGATGGTCATGGAAAAGTTCTTGGAGATGATGCATCCCGAAACAAAGTTCAAGATCCAAGAAGCAGGGATAATGGAGGTGAAAGATGCCGCAGATAGGGCGGATATGATTACTGAAGCATACAAGAGCTTAAGAGAGAACAGAGTGAGAAGCGAGGCGAGACGCAGCAATTGCAGATCCAATGGAGTCTGGGGAGGAAGAAATTATGAAAGACCCAGAGGAGTCTGGGGTGAGAAAAATTTTGATAAATGGGCAGATAAAAGTAAGTACCCTAAAACTCAGAAGAGTAGGTCGCGCACTTCATCTGAAAGTGAGGATGGAGGAGCTAAACGAGAAACTAATCGTTATCCGGGAAATCAAGAGTCCAGTAAAGCTCCACAGAGTACGAGTAGTACGTCTGGCCCGAGGAACTCTCATGTGAGTGGGCAGAGTCAGAGCTACTCTGGTACGTATAGGAGAGATTTCTCCCAGATGAGATGTTACAATTGTAACGGATTGGGTCACGTGATGCGATATTGTCGGCAGGGCAAGAGAGTTGTGACCCTGGCCATGTGTGACCCCCGAGGTAAATATACTAATGTGTTCGAAGACAAACCACAGAAAGTGAACTTAGTGAACGAGAGGTATAGGCCGTTCATGAGCAAAGGTTGGATCAGTGTAGGAGGCCAACCTGAGGTAGAAGTTGGTATCTTAAGAGATACCGGAGCTAATCAGAGCTTGATTGCGAGAAGCCTGATTGGGAATGATCGACGGTTAGCTGGCAGGAGTAAGATGAAAGTATATGGGTTATTGTCGGAGAGTGACATGCCCGTTTGTACTGTCCAGCTAAGGTCGGAATATGTGTCGGCAGAGGTGATGTTGGGAGTGTGCCCCGACATACCTGTTCCAGGAGTCCAAGTGATCCTGGGGAATGACTTGTGCGGGACAAAGGTGTTGACAAGAGTCATGGCGGAGACTGTGCCAGAGGAGTGCCCAGAAGGCCATGGCACGGTTGGGACACCTGAGAGTGTGAACCTGACTGACATCCGAGGGGATGAGTCAGGAGACCGCCAAGCCATTGAGTACCCTGTCTCGGTAGTGACGAAGGCAGAGGTGGCCGACGAGGAAGACACTGGAGAAGGTGAGACAGTGTCGATTCAGCCAGTGGAAGAGATCGATGTAGATATAGCACGGCTGTTTGATGAAGGTCCAGCCCAGAAAAATGAAGTCTCGGTGAGGTCAAAAGTGAAGAAGGCCCAGCCGAAGAAGACTCATGTGAAGAGAGCGGACCTGAGTAAAGCCCAGACTGCTGAAATTAAGGGTCGGAAGGTGAACGCAACTGTGCTGAGTAGGAATGAGGAAGGATGTGGACATACAGAGGACGAGAGTAGAGCGTCAAGTTGTCCACGAGCACAGAGGCATTTGGGTAGTAGAGTTAAGTTGTTTGAGATGTCAGGAGTTGACATGTTTCACAGAAAACGTAGAGTAGAGATAATGAAGAAGAGTAATAGCCGAGAAAATGAAAGGAGAAGAGACAGTATGTGTGGAGAGATGCTTACGAGCACTCTGGGAGAGGCAAAGCGACATGTATGGTCGAGTGCTGTTGGATGTAGTGCAGTGCTCGAAGAGACTTTTAGGGGACGAAGAAGAGTTGAAGGAGAAGAAATGGATTGGTATAGAGGTGAGAAGTGTGGGAAGAGGATGATGATGCAAGCATGGAGGAATAGAAGAAAGCCGAGGACTCGATGGAGGTCAAACAAGACGATGTCTTGGACAAATGAGGAGACGAAAGGGAGGATAGTTGGTGAAGACGAGGGAGTGAAGTATGATGACAGGAGGCGAAAGTATAATGGCAGTAGATGGAAGTATGAAGACGACAGAGGAGGTACAGACAGTAGATGTCTGACTCTGGACGGGAAGAGAAGAAGACGAGGAAACGGAGGGTGGAGACGATAAGTAGAGTGGAACGATGGAGTGCAGGCGTCCAAGGAGGACAGCCTAGCCAAGAGGTGCCAGAGAAGTCAAATCGTTTATGAGAAGATCATGTTTCTGGAGAGAGGTGAGCCAGATGTTGCAAGGAGCAACGAACTAGTTGTAGACTCCTACGGGAGTATGTAAACAGACTAACCGGTCGAACCAATCGGTTGAAGAACGAGATAGTGTGGTGGCGGATGTATTATCCCGAGCTTTGCCACTGGAATAACTCTCAAAAATAAGGGGAGGGGAGTGTTATGATCTCAGCCTGCAGGAGAAACGAGTCTCCCTTCTTGAGAGTTATTCAGCAAGCCTGACCTAACTAGAAGGTCTAGCAGAATTTGAGGTGATAACGCATATGTAAAATAGTTGGTTGGATATGTGTAACAGTTTGAGATTATGGGCAATGCAGAAGAAAATAGATAAATGACTGGCTAGGAGATGTGGACATTTTGCTGGAGGCTTGAGGCTCGCTTCTGGAGGACCTTGACCTCACTTGAGTGCCAGACATCGCAGGGGGAAGCCGCGCTCCGTTGAGCTCCCGTCAGAAGGGAACCCCTAGTGATATATCTCTAAGAGAAGAGAAGTGTGCAGACGTGCCAGCTGTGGAATCGAGCTGGGGACGTGTGGTCTCAAGTCGTGGACGATAATTAGTGAATATTAAGCCGCCCGGAGGCATTATTGTGGGCTGTGTGGAGCGCCCTGACCAGACGCCGTCAGAGGGAAAGCGCCCTCGACCAATTAATCTGTGGTAAGCACGATAAACGCCAGTTCATAGTGATTGTTTGTAGTTGGTCGTGTGCCCAGCGACAGTAGCGATGTTTATTTATAAGTTAGACATGTTTTAATAAGGCAGAAGGCCTGAAATAGGAGAGTGAAGAGGGAGGAACACGGAGCGACGTCCGTCCTCTCTGAGCGCTGGCGGACGACTGAGGGAGCCTGGCTCCGGATGGAGGAAGACCCTCCCAGCGAGTGAGGACGCCGCCGCCAGGCGAGGTGGAGTATGGACCCGCCCAAAACGGGGGAGTCCACTCTCACTGTATGTAGAGAACAGATAGAGGTTTGAGGCAAGCATATTGTGTGGTTATTTTTTGTTTATGTGTTAAAGGGGAACATTTTATTGGAGTGTCGATGGGTTGCAGGTTTGTCTTTTGGGGAAGAAGTTGCTGAGAACTTCGAAGCCAGCAGATGATGTAGCTGATGAGACTCCAAGGTAGTGGAGCAGAGGACCTCGAGCTGTGAGGAGAAGCAGCAGTGAAGAGGAGTGTCACGTGCTTCTGTAGAGGTGGTGTAGCAGCCAAGAGAGCTGTGGAAGAACCTAACAGAAGGGTGGAGCACCGTAGTTGCACAAGGAAACTTCATGATAGCAGCCGGGAGGAGCTGCAGAGGATCCTGGTAGTGAAGCCCGGAAGAACCTAAGGATATTAGGGTTGTGAACTTCCAGAGGTGGAAGGGGAAGTTCTGGTGGATTACTTGTAGGGAGTTGATAGTGTTTGGTTGTTAGTAGCGTGCAAGACGCAGTGAGAGGTGAGTGACTGTTGGCATTCTTACGTCAAGGAGTTTTTTATACTGAAGTATCAATTAACATTTGTACTGGTATATGTTATTGCATTCAAATGCTGATATTCTATATATACATTATCTTGCTGATAGCGCAACAGTGTGTAGGCTTGACCAACTTGAGGAGGTTAATAGTATCAGGTGGTGAGCCAGGAGGTAGGATACCACTTGATAAGCTGATAATAGAGTTCTGATGGTATTGGAGTGCAACCTGATTGTGATATTATAGAGTATAGGATTCATTATTATTATATGTGTGTATGTATCGTGTATGTGCTTTGTTCAGTAAATGTGTCACAATTTGCTGGTGTTTGCCCTTGTCCTAGTGAGGCTTCCCAGGAGGTAGTAAAGAAGGAGAGAGAGAGAGAAAGAACCAAGAACCACTGCTGTGGACAGGGTAAGAGGCAATACTAGTAAGTCATAGGGGATTGAGGAGATCATATCTCATAAGGAGAGAGTGGGGAGTCACAGCGGCTCGAGTGGGTGTGTGCACGTGACAACGAGGCTAAGTGTTGGAGCCGCATCCCCTAAACGTGTGACGTTGAGCCCCTCTCCAAGAGCCAGAAGCGCCAAGGGTGATCTCCTAGTATAAGCACTCTGCCGAGTTGTGGGTTGGGGTTGTCCATAGAGAAGGATCAACGACGACAACACCAACCAACCCACAGTCTATAATAATAGTTATTAATATTACAAATATTATTAGTATGAGTAGTGCTAAGAGTAGTACTTAATAGTTTGATTATTATAATCGTTATTTAAATTTATTTATTTATTATGATGTGTTTATGTTAATCAGTCATAAATTCATCCACTCACACATTTATATAACTCCTCACTAACAACCTTTTCCCCATACCACAAACACAAGGTACTTCACCCCACACAACCACACACACCAGAAGGTACTTCACCCACACTACCACACACACCAGAAGGTACTTCACCCACACTACCACACACACCAGAAGGTACTTCACCCACACTACCAAACACACCAGAAGGTACTTTACCCACACTACCACACACACCAGAAGGTACTTCACCCACTCTACCAAACACACCAGAAGGTACTTTACCCACACTACCACACACACCAGAAGGTACTTCACCCACACTACCACACACACCAGAAGGTACTTCACCCACACTACCACACACACCAGAAGGTACTTCACCCACACAACCACACACACCAGAAGGTACTTCACCCACACTACCACACACACCAGAAGGTACTTCACCCACACTACCACACACACCAGAAGGTACTTTAACCCACACAACCACACACACCAGAAGGTACTTCACCCACACTACCACACACACCAGAAGGTACTTTAACCCACACAACCACACACACCAGAAGGTACTTCACCCACACTACCACACACACCAGAAGGTACTTCACCCACAATACCACACACACCAGAAGGTACTTCACCCACACTACCACACACACCAGAAGGTACTTCACCACACTACCACACACACCAGAAGGTACTTCACCCACACTACCACACACACCAGAAGGTACTTCACCACACTACCACACACACCAGAAGGTACTCTCTGCAGTCTACAATTTCCCATCATGTGTGAGCTGGACCGTGTACATATACCCCTCAAGTGACAGCTGCCCAACGTATAGTTATCAGTCAAGTAACAGCTACACCGTGAACACTTACCCCTCAAGGGAGAGTTGTACGTCGTATGAAAGAGGAAGTGGAAGACTCAAGGTCTGAGGATATGTTCCGGTTGCTCCAGCCTCCACCTTAACCTCCACCATCTTAGCTGGTCCTCCAACACTCATCCCCAACACCCCCTTCATCTCCCCCTCCTCCTCTTGAAGCTCCAACTCCAACGTCTC